TGGAGCCTCACCCCTGTGGCCCAGGCCCTCCCCGCAGGGCTATATATAGTCTGAGTACCAGGGCAGACATGTGCTCTGTCACGCATCCACCTCCACTGCTCTTAGATTCCCCAGAAGGGCTGGTGGGACCATGAGGGCAGGGGTGGGCCAGGAGGAGACGGAACCCCCCTCACACGGAGGTTGGCATGGACACAACTCACGTGCAACTTCAGTTTGGGGCCCTGGGATCCTGCTCACTCTGCCCTGGGCACAGTGCTCTCTGGGGACCTCCCCAAACTCACCACAGCCCACTGACCCCCACCAACACAAGGCCCCAAGGTAGAGCCCCAAGACCTACCAGAGTTATACCATGCCGGGTGCAAGCCTAGGGCTACAGATGAGCTTGGAAACCAGTGTGCGAGGCAGACAGGCTGAGGTCCCAGAAGCGCAGCCCCACGGTGGGGCCTTTCTGGGCCTCAGGTCTGGCAGGGGTGTGGTGCTCCAGGCTAGCCACCTCCTGAGCAGTGCTGGGTGCACTCTGGAAGCACCGCAGTGAAGACAGCCCAGCCAGTGCTCTGGGGAAGGGGGGCCCTGGTCCCCAGGTTCACTGAGTACTCAAGCACCTTGCACAGGACAGGATGCAAGGATGCAGGGGGTTCAGCAAGAGGCTCAGATCCCCACACCTCGAGAACTCCCCATTCAGCAGGGAGACGGACACATGGGCTGTTATTCCCAGGGAATATAATATCTAGGCAGTACCAGGAGTGGGGGAGACGCTGGGGACCTGCGGTTCCAACGCGAAATTACCTGCCTGTGATGCACTTTCCTGGCTGGCCTGGGGGCTGCTCTGAGAACCAGCGACACACACACACAGTGCCGTCCTGGCTCTACAGATACCACAGCATTAGCTGCAACTTTCCTGGACCTGGCACAGGGGCTGAGCCGAGCTCTGGGAGCAGACTGGCTGCAGCCCTGTTCACTACCACCGAGCTGTGCGCCTCTGGCCGGGTTTCCCAGCCCTCTGTGCCTCAGTTCCCTCATCTGGACAACGGGTCTAGAGGGGGCACGGCCTCGTGTGTGGGTACGGCATGAGTATGGGTTTCTGAGATGCTCTCTGAACAAGCTCCAGCCATCTGTGCCTGCCCTCCCCGGGATGTGCACGGATTTAACATGGATCTGGGGACCAGACAGACTCCAGCCAAAGAGCTGCGCCCACCCAGGAAAGGATGCAGGAGAGGGGAACAGGACCCTGCAGCCACTTCTGCCTCAGGAGTCCCATCGGAGACGGCATATCTGGCGAGGACGCAGCAGGAACAATTCGGCCAGACAGGCCAACCCCCAAGTCCCTACTCCCCTTTCCTCCACCACAAAGGCAACTAAATAGCAAACTGCTTTTTAAAACTAAAGCAGTAATACAGAGAAGGGCATAATTATGTCAACAGCACGAGGCGCTTTCTTCTCAGAGCCGGCGGGGGAGGAACGCCCTGCCAGGCCGCCCGGCCCTCTCTGCCTTGGCACGGCCTGTCAGAAAGCCCTGAAGTGCTAATAGAACGTTCCTTTGTTCCTAGACTCTCTGCTGTCACTTCCTGTACGTTCACCGTCTAGAGGGAGAAGTAAGAACTTACTTCTTTGCAAACTTAAAGGAAGGAGCTTGAGGACAATCAGAACTGAGGACCCGTCACCCCTGTGGCCCTAGACCCCGTTCAGGAGAGCCTGTTTTTTCTCTTGGTGGCTCCTACCAGGAGCATGGTGGAAGGCCGTCCAGCACCCTCCACCCCTCACTGCTGCTTTATGTAAGACCCTACGGCCATGGGCTGACCACAGGCTCTGTGATGACCACCTGTGAACACAGGAGATGGGCACTCACAGAGCACCGTCCCGCTCAGAACCACCCGCCCTGGAAGGTGGGCCTGCATGAACAACCAACCTCCGGGGTCCACAGGCTGACTGAAGCCTCCACCCTCCCGACCTTCACACAGGCGCTACCAAGACCTCAGAGGGTCTTCACCAGCAGCTCTAGGGTCCAATTTTATTGCTCAGTCCAAAAGCTCTCTGAGGAGGTTAGCGGGGATTTTTGTAATGCCCTGAGCCTCTTGTAAACACTGGTGGGTGAACACTTCTGGAGAAGCCAGGTTGTCATTGAAGCGCAACTACCAGAGAAAGAACAGGAGAGCCTTAACACGTGCAGGGCTGATGGGATCCCTTCCTAGGTGGGTGGCCCTGTCCTTCCATGGTGTTGCATGGCCTTAGGGAGAGAAGGCGGGAAGAGCTGAGCCCTCAACTCCAAGGTCGAAGCCACTGTCCCCCGATCAGATGAATTTTTCCTGGAAGGCAGAAAGCTTGCCCAGTGTCAAGAAGATGGAGCCAGGACTTGAACCCATGGCTACCAAACACATGCTGTCTTTCTTTTCCATGAACAAGCTGCCTCTGTCACCACGGGATCGCTCCTGCCCTGAGCATCTGAGGATTTACACAAAAAGGTGCTTGATTCCAGGGGGCCCTTGAAGCCTAGGGAGGCTTGGGGTAAATTAAATTT